ATTCTTGTCCTGTTCATGAGTGTGTGAGGGAAGGATGGAGCGGGAGGTTGACATGCGGATCGGTGCAGTGTGTGCAGTGAACGGACCGTTGTGGTGAAGAGGGAGCAGAGTCAAAAGGCCATGCTCAATTTACCACATCAATTTACTCATTTACTCATCAATCAAACCCAGGAGCTTTGAGTAATGAAAGGACCAATCAGTAAAACTTAAGCTCCCTTAAAGATAGGGTGAGGAACTCGGAGTAGAGCCGCTGCTTCTCTATGTCGAGAGGAGCCGCAGTTGAGGTGGCTCGAGTATCATAAACAGAAAACCCGGAAGAAAATGTGTGGATAAAAGGAACTTTGTATCAATTATTTCCTTTCCTTATCAAAGTATGGAATATATTACCATAAATATCCTGCACTAAAAAGCACACATAGTAGTTATAGTCAATCATTTGAGCTAGCTGCGTAAACAGGTTCAATGGTGCTTGGTTACTTAGGATAAAATATAAATTCAATGCCATACATCTGCATATGAATCTAGAGTGCATTATTGTTCAGTGGAATAGATTTTTAAAAATCTTTTGTCCCTTTGTGTAACTTTTCCTCTATTATCAACCTCCTCTGTGTGTGGGGACCGTGCCGCCATTGCGCTCTGCAGATAACACAGAATATGCAGCGAATGGCAATAGCTGGATTATATGGATGATGTTTGGATTTTTCTTTTCTTTTTTGCGGTTATCTCTGGCATCTGCTCTTTGAGAATCCTCTTGATGGACTCTTTTGTTCATCTATTGTTCTTGTTATATTCGACATCTCTCTGTTTTTTTGTCGTGAAGATCCAGGGTTTGTGACCAGAGCTGGACCCTCATCAAGAATTATTCTACAGATTATGGCCGTATTTGAAACCATAGGGAGAATTGTTTTTTAGTGATTAATTAAAATTCAAAAAGCTACATGTTTTGTATTGCGTCCTCATTGTACATGTAAAAGTGCTACATTAAACGGTAAAATGTGAAAGACTGAGGTATAGATCTATTCAATAGTGAGTGCTGCATTTCATAGTTTTTTTTATTTTCCTTTTTTACATTTGATTTTTATATATATGAAGCTATAGAAAATCCTGCCTGAATGAAGTGACAATAACAACAATATGCAGCCACTTTGAAAACTGTTTTATTTGTAACAGATTTTCAGAGAGGCTTTCATGAGATTCTAATTTGGCAAGGTCATTTTTGCATCTCGCGGAAGGCTTTTGGAGATAATCCAGTATTGTGTCAGTGCAGTGAAGCTGTAAACAACAGTGTCCTTTATTTAGGATTATGTTATTTAGGATTATGCAAATAGTCCAGACTGGGCAAGAGGATATGACACTGACAGTGTAATTCACAAATAAGGCAAAACATTACGTCCACTGTCAGGTGAAAGGGGAATGGCCCTTAGTCTGCAGGGGTCAATCTCACAATCAGGTCAGGGTCAAACTTGAAGATTTTTTAAAAATAGATTTGGGTTCAGAATCTATTCGTTTAACTTTTACAATCTAGTTAATACACTGTTGGTGTGATGGAATGCTCCAGTATGATAAATGTATTAGTTTCTTTAAAATTATGATTATTGTGATGGAGTCTACTTGTCATATAGGGTGATCATAGGAGACAGAACCTAAATATATACTTTTCTCAGCTTTTGAGCATGTTTTAGTTGTTTTCCTTTGTCATTGACACTTCAAGTTCATGTGCATATTCTAGTTTCAATTTCTCATATATGAATCCCGCCATTGCTCTCACCTCAGTCTTCTGACTACAGCCACCTAGCCCCTCGCCAGCTTTTTACCAATTTTCTTTTTTGAATCCATGATATGTGGAGGATTCATCGGCCTTCTTCCAATTTGTGGTCAGTTCAAAGCAAAAAAAGGAGAAAATAGGCATTCAGTTGTTTTTGTCTAAAAGTGCTTTATTTCTAATATATACAGTATGTCTAATATATAGGACTGATCCAAGGATCCTATGCACTATGTATAGGAACTTTGGAAATTGTTCATCAAACAAACATTCTGTTCAGCATAAATTCCAGAGATTTGAACATTTCAGATCCTCCATCCTCACGTGAGTATTTACCGCTGATTTTGTAGGTTTATAAATTGTATATTGAGCGGAACAGCCCTCCGTTCGGTTTGGTTCAGTAGGTTTTCCTAACTCCACAGCACAGGCACATTATGTCATTAGCGGTGATGAAGTGGCCGAACGGTGGTGTGACCTGCAGCATGCGCCTTTGATCGTCCTGTCAATTAGTCCAACCCACTAATTACACTGCCACAGCTCATCGACAGAGCAGAGGGATTCAATGGGAAAACACGCACTCTGGTGTTTCGTCACTCTACGAGCAAGAGGTCAATCGCCTCAGAGAGCAGAGTTTCTATTGTGTGAAGAGATGAATGGCATCACATCACATCAGAGCAAGTCTTAAAAAGTGTGAGGCTGCTTTCAAAAAACATCATATTATTTAGTTGTAATGATTTTGCATCCTGCTCAGATTGTACAGATATTAAAATACAATAAACAATTAAAAGTTTTGATCATACTTTCGGGTATTGACGTTTCGTTTTTAATTTATCATTCACAACAACAGATCCAATCATCTTCATTTCAACATCTGAAAGTCAAAGTTTTGCATGATTTTGCATTGAGTGTGTGTGTGTGTGTGTGTGTGTGTGTGCGTGTGTGTGTGTGAGTGTGAGTGTGAGCGTTTGTGTGTGTTTGTCTGTGTGTGGCATGTCGAGTCTTGTGGAGGTTAAATTGATAGATCAATAAGGATTTAGCTTCAGAAGGTTCCATTTACATGTTGCACTTCAGTCCCTTTGTAATCTGTCCTAAAACATACAGCATACACACACACACACACACACACACACACACACACACACACACACACAGGGGAATGGCATGATTTAAGACCATCTGTTCTGTATCTGCGGGAGACAGAGGTAGGCCTATATGGAGATTTCGGTTTTACAATTAAGCTAATACATTTTTTATTTTGCATTTATTTTGTTGCACCTTTTTGCTTTCCACATATGTATTCAAATGGAAAGGACTTTTATATATTTAACTTCAGAGTGCTTCACCACCGTCAAAGTTTATTTTATTTGTTTAGCTTGTTTTTAACCCTCTCTCCAGACAACAAATCTGTATGTCTGTATGATAATATCAAACATTATAATGCACATAGTACATATAGAAGTAATGCACACAGACAAAAAAGCGTGGACTGCTGAAACTTACTTCAACCATTCCATAGACGTGAGCTGAAAAATAAGTCCATTTGAAACATAACTCCAGCTCTTTAAAGTTATTCAAGCCGGAATCAGCTCAGAGTAAGTCCTGTGATAAGTACTGGTGGTCCAGAGGTGATCAGAGATGAGGAATGAGGAGGAGTGAACCGAAGAGAGCTCTTATTCACTGCAGCCTCTTGATTCAAATGACCCACCGAGCAAAAAGACCGATCACTTAAACCCCAGGTCAATTTGAGCAAGAAGCACTTAACACTAGACTGATATATCTCTGCAGACTAGAGATTGTGTTGAAAATGACCCATGCAGTTTGCTCAGAAGTTCACCATTTATAAAGATCTTGGCAGTTATGTTTGTGCTGTATGTACTGAGGTTTTTTTTTTATATATTTCTGCCTTAGAAAGATGAGTCATTATTTAGTCATTTCAAAGTTTAAGCAGAAACACAATACACTTATAAACAAGGTGCAGAAATAGTTTAAAAAGGGGTTTGGACAAAGCAACGCTGATTCGGCTCCAACCCATCTCACTCGTCCTGGGCCTGGTGGGGTCTGGGGCCCCTCTCTCCTCTGGGTCCTGTGTCGTTCCCTGTGGCTGCAGCCGGCTCTCTGCTCCTGGTGCAGATGGCTCCTTGGATGGCGCTTCTTCAGCCGGTTACATCTGCTCCCAGCCCCATTTCTTTTTATTGTTTTACCTATTGTACCTGATGTGACTTTATACTTGTGTGTGTGTGTGTGTGTATACGCATGTGGTAGTATATATAATTATAAATGTGGTTTTGGGGGGTCTGCGGGGAGGAGGGTTTAGGGCTGGGCATGTTGGATTGTTTTTAACTAAACTGTAAAGAAGTGTGTGTTACATTTTTTGTATGAAAAGCGCTTTATAAATAAAATTTGATTGATTGATTGATACTATACAACACAAAACAGAACACACGCACACACACACACACACACAGACACACACACTGACCCAAAAACACCCTCATTACTCACTTTGTGCTGAGGGCATCACTCTTTCTCCCACTTATTTCTTCAGTATATCTCTGTTTCTATATACTTTGAACTAAATCGTATTGTAGCCATTTTGATTTTTTTCTGCTTTAACCTGTTAGCCAAACCTGAGAGCCAAAGCAATTTCCTAGTTTGTGACTTCCTGTTACTCACATGGCAATAAAAGGATTCTGATTCTGATTTGAACACGTTTTGAAATCATGCGTTAATCTGTTCCCAAGTGTACCTACTTTGACCATTTATGAAATACATTTGTTGTGCCTTCCCCTTGTTTTTGTAAATCCAAACACACATGAATCTAACAAAGAACAAGGTCATCTCTACGCACATTTTCCAGCGTTGAGGCAGCCCACTCACACATGACAAAGAGGCCCTCAGCATACGCAATAAAACTGACTGTGAAAGTGTCCACTATAGCTGTATTATAGAAAACACCGCTCTTTTGTTGAACGCCACATCCAGCCGGTGCTTTCATTGAAATTTTTGGGAACATTTTGGATCGTACTGTGTTTGGAATTCTAATGTGTTTGTACAATTGTGCCATTTTGCCCAAATCCTCTACATTTGTCAACTTAAACCAATAACCACGAGAGTAGCGATATTGTGTAGACGGGTGATTTTTACTCAGAATGTAATTATGATCTCATATTTGACACATGCAGCTGCGAATAGAGATGTTGAGTGTATATCAATATTATTCTCTTTCTTGTCTCTACAGCTCAGCAGAGGAGAAATTCAGATGGAATAACCAAGGTAATTGTTTTATTTATATTGTCTATACCTTTTCTGTTTGTATAAGCTCAAAATGTTCTCTCTGCAAACTGTCACTGCAAAAGCGACCCCAACTTTGTGTTTCCCTTCTGGATAGTCTAACACAGTTAAAGTACAGTCCTGAGGTTAAAGTAGAATCTGGCAATCCAAACGAGTCTCCATTATACCTTTTGATTGGATAACCTGCTTCCGTCAACATGTGACCATCATGTCCTTTAATATAGTAGCATCAAAACAATGACATAAAATGATGTTCAAAAAGGTTTGATCTGGGGATAAAGATAAAAGAAAACAAACCAAAATAAGTCTTACCATAGTACCTATAATGATTGATAGTCTCCCAGTAATTTAGGTCAAACACTTCTCTGGAAAAAATAGATATACTCAACATGTAATGCATACGCCATAGGGCCAAAATACACACATTTTAGACTTGTTCAAAAGCAAGTTTTTGTAATGTGGTCATATACTGCCTCAGGAATCATTCCAGGCTTTAGTATTTGCGCACATGTATGAACATCTACACGTAGATAGACAGATGGCAAGTGCTTACCCTGTAGTGAAAACCAAGAACCAATGAGTGTGTTTTCCTTTGAAGCATTTAAAATTCAAATGAAGTCACCTCTTTACATCTGACAGTTTCTTTTGATAGTCACTTTGGCGTCTCTCTGAACGCGCATGCATGACACTGGGCTCTCCTTCCCTCTCTTCCCTCCTCTCCCCTCTCTCGGTGTCATTCGCGTTGTGATGTGGCCCGGGTTGAGAGTAGATTGATTATCGTAGTGCAAAGTTGGTGACCTCTGCCAACAATGAGGTGGCTCATACAAAAAGCTTATAGTGAAGTCTGGACAGTGACAACTGTGCTTATCCATCTGCTGAGGCCGACTCCAAAAAGTAAAAAAAGTAAAAAGAAAGACCAAATTCATTCTGTCACAAAAAGTGGAAAGTCTCATCAGGGATTTTGATCTACAAATCATTAAGAAGCTATCACTCCAGCCCTGGACAGGTTTAAAATTGAGTTTTGGCTGGGGTGGCGTGAGGGTCAGTAAATCCTCCTCTGCGCCACAGAAGGAGATGGAAATGTTTCAGCCACAGCATCAGTATCCGTCTCCAGAAGTGTCACCGGAGGTCAATAACTTATCCAACTAAATCCACTTAGCAAGCACACATTACCATTACTTCTCTTCAGCACAGGATTGATGTCACTCTGTCTGGTAAATTATTTTTTATATTAAAGATATTTGGTAATTTCTTAAAAGTGAACAAGGCAGTTAAGTACAAATCAAATAATATCGTTACTGCTATACTGCAATCGTTTTCATATTAACATAATTTGATTTTCAGTGGTATTTATTATTGGTTTATGTTTGAGATTATACTGGAAATACAGTAGAATACAAATCTTTAATGGGGAGATATCAATGATTCAAGTAATCTGTGCTACATCTTCCCAAATGATTGAGAAATGTAAATACTCTCACTCTGTGCCGCAACGAAAGCAAAACAAAACAATAATAATGTGACAATAATGAAATAACAGTCAATGGGAATGCTGATCCATCAAAAGAAGGCACCAGTTAGACCCGCCCCCAAGGCTTGTTGATTGGACGCAATGAATTCAAATGCTTGATAGACAGCCAAGGCCCCCATTGGTCTAACTATTCTCCTCCAGAAAATATTACTCCTTATTCCAAGGGCGATGGACTGTTTTAAACATATTTATAATGAAAAATACTTACAAAGGTGATACCACAGAGTCATATGCTCAAAAGTATGAACTACTTTCAAAAGTTGAGGATAATTGAAGTTGTAGACATCACCGTAAAATGTGAAATCTAATTTTTATTTTCTGCTTTCCTCAAATCTTCTTCCAACATTCTGTAATATTGTGTTCATCTGTTCCATTTCCATCAACAAGCCTTTGTTTTTTAACTTAGATGGTGACAATGTTCCCTCGTTTTAATTTCTACATGTGTGTGTTTGCAGATGGACAGAAGGACATAGAGGAGGAGCTCACGACCGGCCTGGAGCTGGTGGACTCTTGCATCCGGTCGCTTCAGGAATCAGGAATCCTGGACTCACAGGACGCTTGCACAGGAGACAGTAAGTCAAGGCTAACTGTCAAAGCAGCTTTCAAACCACGTTAAACTTTACATAATTGTTGATTCATTGTTCCATAAAAATGAAAAAAAGTCCTGCTTTCAGACGTAAAAGTGGGTAGAGCTTAATAAGGTGGTGAAACACTGAGAACTTTTCTAGATAGATACAAAGCTCATACATTTCAGATAATGGGTAGAATTAGAATTATGTTGCGTATTTCAATCTGATTTAAAAATTATAGTGTAGCTGTCATTGCACACAGGTACACAACAAGTTTTTTTTAACCTAGTGATGATGAGTCTCTGTGATTCCTTATAAGTGAGTGTAGTTGGCAGTCGTTGCCCCACCTTGCTTACACTATACACATTTGCACTTTTGTGTGTAGTCTACAAAGCTCCTGGTGCAGTCGGATCAGATTTGAGTTGGTCCCAGGGTGATAGTGGTGCGTGCTGCTCTGTGGGCCCCATGAGGCTGAGGAGCTGTCAGAAACATGAGGGGTTCTGATATTCTAATCCTTCCCCACTGAGGAGACGACCGGCCTGCTGTTCAGGTGCACACTGAGGGACTGGAAACATGCTTCATTTACACACAAGTGGATTTACAGTACAGGAAGGCCAACAGTCCTGGCAAAATGTTGGATTTTGGGCCCAAAAAATGCTTATAAGCCAATTATAATATTAGATCCCTCCTGTTGTTCAATGTTATTTTTCATGTCCACCCTCATATTCACATAATTATAATGTTCAAAAAGCAATGTTGCCTGGACCGTCATTTGGCAAGTGCAAACTCAACACCTATGGAACAGTAGTATATTTTTGTGACTTAAGTGATTATTAGTGGTCAAAAATTGCCAAAAGGTATCTTCAGTTTTTTGTGTTTCAGAGGGACGAAAGTATTTACACTTACAGAAATAGATATCGCTTTGTTCCATCCTTTCTTACATTCACTTTAGGCCATATAACTTCATCACACAAACTCAAAAGACTTCATTTAAAAGTTGCACTGCTCTTCTTTAAAGCAGCGCCGAAGAAACGTCCGTCATTCAAATTCAAGAACTCATCCATTGAAGCAATTAATAGACTGGATTTGTCTGTAATGGTAATGAATATGAATAAATGTTTTGCAGAAAAGTGTCTCCTTTCAGAGCTGTGACCAAGAAAGCACATGCCTTTCAGTTCGAACTCTAAAAATAGGGATTCATGAAATATTTAAAGGTGTCAATAGAAATGCTGGTCACGACTCAGAACAAAAGCCACTTGCTATTTATAGACCTATACCCAGGAGCACTTTCAGACTTATTCATGTTATACCGAAACACTAAAAGGACTAAGATTCAATATCATTCTAACTTTTTTGTCAATAGAACAATACGCAACTTTTGTAAATGCCATCTGTGGCCTGTAGTTTTTCTAGCATATTTATGAGTACATAATCGAAATGCTCTTAAAGTGGTTGTCATCCCCCGTCTTTCTACACAAACATGCGAGTTGACAGGTGAAAGTGCTGCTATGGCATTTTGTGTTTGCACTTACCTAGATAGTCCTGACCTAGTAAACCTATCCACCACACTTAGCTTAATGCCACGATCTTCAATAATGCAACATCACCAGTTACAACCCCCGATAGCAGCAATTTCCTTTTTCTTGTGGTTTGTCTCGATCGACCGTGTTCTCTCGGACACTGACTCGCTTTGATTTTCTGCTCCAGAATGTATATTAGTCATGTGTCACAGTGGAATTGATATTATTTTGTAGTTTGAATCTCCCAAAAATGTAGAGTCATGATTAGACATGGAATGGTCGAGCATTGCAGACGGAGACAGTTTGAGAAGTCCTTTGAGACAGCGCCACTATTTGTAACTCTATCCAGCTCCGATTTACTGCAGTGATGTTGTTTTTCTCTACACAAAGTTGATGGGAGGCACAGCAACACTTTTAAATAAGACATGAGGGTACAGCGCTCAATATAGTCTGATGTTTTTGCTGCTGACAGCACAGAAATGTTTGGAGGACACTGGGTTTTCAGCAACAAACAAGTTGACATGTAAAGATAGCTTAAAGTAGGAATATTATCCGTTATTTTTGCTTTTAAAAATGATAATGACACTATTTATGTTGACAATACAATGTAACATTACATTATGGAAAATATATTGGAGGGAAGAGTCGAAAATCAGAAAATTACCAGCTACAAATATCTGGTAATTTTTTACGTTTTTTAAATGTGATTGTAAAGAACATCATTTCATCTTGGAAATGTACGTTATTGAAATTCATTTATGGGCAGTACTTTTGTTTTTAAAAGGCAGAAAACTACTCTGAGCATGATGTTATGGTGGCAACGACACCACACCCTGATATTTCAGGGCAGAGACAGGACGAGCGGAGCTACATGTTTGTCCATTAGCGTGGATGGAACTAAAACATCTTCAGGTCTGTTTTTGATGAGGAAAACTGTTGTAACATGATTAAAAGCTCAAAAAAGTTGATTTTGCTTAAATGTCTCCTGTAAATGTTACCTTACCGGGCCTCTGCTGGCCTTCAATAACATAATTATTCCATAATTTACAATTTGCTACAGTCCAATCTTGTTCTTGCCTTTGTTGCCCAATTCTAACCCATTCAATATTGACTCTGGGTTTATGTTGTTTTCACAACTTCTATACAGACCAGTTCAGGCCCGTCCCAAGGGGGGTGCGAGGCCCTGTGCGAACTCGAAACGCGAGGCCCTGCCCTGACACTTTTTTCCCAGATCTGAGGAAAGTTTTTCCTGTTATAATCTTTGACATGAATTCAGCACCACCTCGCGCGGTGCTTGACGAGATCAGCACGCGCGTAACCGAGTGTCTTCGCTCCTATGCAGCGTTTGGCGCGCGCACGTACACACGCACACACACACTCTACGTGCAATATTGGTCGCGGTCTTTTTAGCTGACATGTCTCTTTCGTCCTGTGGCAAAATGGTAGAGCAACTCAAAAGATTGAACCAAAAGGAGTCTTTTTCTTCTAATAGTTAGATTTGGGCAAAATGCGCCAAAATGGCTATGAGGCGGAGTCAATATTATTATTTTCTCATCAAATAACGTTTTTGCCATGCCTCCACACACTCTGACAACATACACTCCTCCTCCTCCACACTGACAACAACAAAATACTCTTCACCTCCTCCTCCACACACTCTGACCACAACAAAAACACTCCAGCTAGCTAAAGCTAGACATACAGTGTGTTTGCTAATGCTTTTAAAAATATGTTTTTGATGTGGATATTCGGACTAAACATTGGCAATAGCAGCGCTCACACACCTGTCACACCGCTGATCCTCCTCCTCCTCCTCTGCTCACACAAAGGGGTCTGCTCCTCTGCTCACACCTGTATCACTGCTCCTCCTCCTCCTCCTCCTCCTCCTCCTCTGCTCACACAAAGGGGTCTGCTCCTCTGCTCACACCTGTCTCACTGCTCCTCCTCCGCGAGTATCCATCTCTCCTACACTGCGATCATTCCCGTTACTTTCTTTGTATCTCACTCAGACACTGCTAAAGTTATCTGACAGTTTTTTTCGGAGGACCCGTTGCATACATAGCTGCCCGCGCGCCTGCCTGTTTACAAATCGCTTTTGGTGAAAATTTGACTTTACTTGTAAAAATGTTCTTTTGATCAAACGAAATCAAAGAGGTCCAGAGAAAGGGGTTTAGGGTTCCAAATTTGGAGTGCAGTCTGCCCTTTGGGGACCCTTGAACTAGTGTATTTATAAAATAAAATAAAAGGAAGGAAGATTGCGAGGCCCCTGTGTGGTGCGAGGCCCTGTGCGACGGCACAGGTCGCACAGCCCTTAGGACGGGCCTGGACCAGTTTGTTTCATAAATAGTGCACTTTGTTCCAAAAGAAGGTGTCTTGTTTTGTATTTTCAAAGGGCTCCAGCTTTAAGTCTATTTCAAAGGATTTTCTACAACATCTTGCACTAATGTACTGCATCGATGCATTTTGCAACGCAGACTATAGTTTCATCAGTTATTTAAGGCTTACCTTAGTGACACACAAGTCCGTATCATTTTCTACTCCCATAGCTGAATTGAACAGATTTGGGGCAAAAAAAGTTGGAATAACATGTGAGTGAAATGGATACAGAAACAGACAGACCCGGAGAGACTATGAAAGAAGAGCAGTGAAAAAATGTTTGGAAATTGAGGCCAAGAAACGCAGTGAGACATAAGGGTCAGAGAGCATTAGAGAAGACTGGAATAACATAGTGGCTAAAAAGCAAATGGCTGTCTCTTAAAAACGAGGTCAAGGAATTGCTTTTTCTGCAAGCTTTGAAGCCCTTTATCTGTCTCTCCGAGGTTATATTAAAGGATCCTGGCTTTTATTTAGTGACATGGATTGTTGGAGAAAATGACATGGAAAGGTTGTTCATAAAATGTGTATTATTTCATTCAAGGCTTTTGAATCCAGAATGGTTGTTTTGGAAAGGAAATGAATCTGTGTTCACACTAAACAGAAAACAGAGAAAGACGATAGATCCATTATGAGGTATTTTATTAGTAGGGGTGTGAACCTCAGGGTACCTCACGATACGATACGCGATACAAAGCTCACGATAACGATTATCGATATATTGGTCAGAAATATACCTATGATTATTTATGGCATAAATAAAAGAAACATTTTAGGGGAAAAAATACACTTTACTCCATGATAAATGGAATGGAGATGAGAAATGTAGCCATATATTGAGTATTGGTACTATCTTTTTTTTTTATCGATACTTGGCAAAAGCATATCAATAATCGATTGCGCGAGAAAGTATCACGATACATCACCATATTGATATATCGTCACACTCCTATTTATTAAGCTGTTTGGAACATTTCAAACTTAACCTTACCTAGCATTATTTTCTTTCCACTGCTGGTCATTAAGTTTAAAATGTCCTGAACTCTGTTGAAAAAATCATGCCTTAAATGCAAATACAAATCATTCATTTTCAAAATAATCATTGAGGATTAGAAAAAGTTTAATGACTTTCCACGCAGAAAACACTCTTTTGATAATCGAATTACAATACTATAGATAGTGCATTGGAAGTTTTGGCTGATCTAAAGATGTGACAGAGGCCAAACTATACACGCTTGAGAAAAGTGAAGGAGCAAGCTGTTTTTGAACCTGATATTAGTGATATAGATTTTACCCCAGCTTTTCATAGCACATAAAGTACATTTCTTCACAACCTGGTTTTGCAGTGTGACTGTGACTCAAGCTTGCGTTTCTCTTCTTTAGGACAAGGTCTTCTGTCACAAAGTGCTCTGCAGCTGAACAACCAGGACCCGTATGCAGCCGCGGGTTACCATAGCAACCAAGGCCTGGCGCTGGGGGAATCAGTCGCCGGCCGCTACAATCAGGTACGCACAGGAGCACAGGTGAAAAATGTGCCTTTTTGTCCTTTCCTCATGAGATTTTTTTAAGCTTTTTGTCGTTGCATGTTTTGTTTGTATTCCTCAATGACACAGGTCTTGGGAATGCCATGTTTTATAGAGGGCACTCAACCGAAAAGATTTGTTAATCCGTTTCCCCAAAATTGTCACAATATTGCACAGACAGACAGCTCTAATTAAACCCTCTGCACAAACAAAACTCCATATTTGACAGCACATGACTTGAGGTTGTGTTATTATTAGTGGCAGGGTGAACTATAATGAGAGATGATAATGTGTTGAGGCATAAGAACACGCTTTGTAAAATTGACCTTTAATAATTGGATTCCTTTCTCATTTACACACGCACATACTGTATCTATTCAGAGTGAATCATGCATCTGTATATTAAGCCCTCAAGCCATCAGTCCCAGAAGTGCATTCTCTGCTGTTTTATAATTATTTTCTGAATTAATTGAATACTATTTTTGACCCAATAGTTTTGTCCCAATCAAAAAAACACAATCATATTCATAGTTGTACGTCTAGACATAACATTTGAAATATCCCGCAGATTATGTGTACTTTCTATATCTAAAGGAGGAAGCTTAAGGCCACCCCTTCAGCTTTGAGCTACTGGTACCTCCCGAGCTGCAGTTTGGAAATCTTAAACATTTATCACAAAGAAATTCAGTGCTGGCTGTCTTCAATATTCATATACACCAATACCAAAATATCTCTTGCAATGTGGATTCTCAACTTTCTGTATCATTATTTTCCCCGACAAAATACAACATGGCAGACCGTCATAACCAATTTAACTTTGCATTTAACAAGTGACCTTCAACCTGTCTGAGCCAATATTCTCCTCATGTTTTTAGTTTAGTGCGTAAGGGACCATTACATTCCATTATAATGAGCTCAACTGAACTGGCAAAACTGATGCCTCTTGTCCATTGTGTCAAAGCTAAAAAAGTGCTCATCTCCCAGACACATTTCACGATCATTTAGCGTTCATATTTCACCGCGTTGCTTTTATGACGACTCCGATAACGCCTCATCCTTGATCAGGCGCTCTGGTTACTTGCTCCAGGGAGAGTCGTTCTGCTGTCTCACAAAAATGACACGAATGGAACAAGAAGATTAATGTTTAAGAGGAGTGAGCACTAATGCACTATTAGTGAGAATCTTGGGATATTTTAGCACACGTCAAAATCAAAACTTCACTTTGATTAGAATTTTAATTTCATCATAATTTCACAAGTTCCAGATACAATGTGTTGCCCCCAAAATGTATTACTTGCAGATACAGGACCTTTAAAACTCATTGACTGCCATTGACGTATTTGTCTGAGACCCGCTATTCGACTGGGGATTACAGAACAACAAAAATTGCTAGAAACTAACTTATTTTTGCGGATGAAAATAGACAGTCCAGTCCTTCATAATCTGGTTTCATATTTCACGTAGTCTTAGGAAATAATATTCTGTGGGTCTTGAGAATCAGTGAAATAATCCAAAACGGCTGGCAGTCAATGAGTTAACAATGGACATTCGTCATTCCACTTCCTACTGTATGGACCATTGTCTCCTACGTGTTTCATACAGATGCGGTGAATCCACAACTTTGTAATGTTTGTTTTGATGTAAGGCTAAATTTTAAAAAAAATTTCATTAAATTTAAATTAAACTGAAATCTTTGTGAGACTGTGAACAAATTGGACTCTGTAGGAACCTTGGTAAAGATGGCATCCTGTTATAAAATGATTGGCATAAACTGTTTTCAACTTCAAAGAATCTACTTGAGTCCTATTTCATCCATTTTTATTCAAATATTTTCAGTCGGTGGCATCTCCAACCAAGCTTCAGCGCCTGGGGTCGGTTTCCGCGGACATGCCCAGCTACGCCACATTACAGCGGGTATCCTCGCCAAAACAGTCTCCTAGCCGCCTCGCCAAATCCTACAGGTACCTTCCATTAATTTATTACATCACTCACATCACAAAGAGGCTTAACCACTACAGGAAGTCAATACATGCTGTTAATCAATAGAGGAAAATTACTTCCCCTGGAGCTGGGAGTTCTTTTGATTTGCCTCCATGTCTGGTGGCTATTGTCGTATTCGTCACAACAATGCTGGTATTATATTTTGCAACCATAATCAAAAGAAATGCATCCACGGTAGCGAGGTCTATATATTGCTTTCAGTTGTATGCACAGATTTTGATAGTTTGGTTATTACAGGTGATTTTAATATTCATGTGGATAATGTTGATGACAGAAATGCAAATGAGCTGAGTTCTGTACTTGAATCCTTTGATCTCACTCAGCACGTAAGTGGCCCCACCCACAGCAGAGGGCACACTCTAGATCTGTTAGTTACAAAGGGGGTGATTATTTCAAATGTAAACGTGGTCGATGTTGCTCTTTCGGATCATTTCTGTGTTTTTTTTGACATGTGTTTCACTAACAAACCACCAGTGGACTCTGCAACTGTTCGAAGAAGGCGCATAAATGAAAATACGAGTGAACTATTTATGGAAATGATAAACTTTGAGAATGCATCGTATTCTACTGTAGATGAACTGTTTAACTCTGTCACCTCTAGTGTTTTGAATGTTCTGGATACCGTTGCCCCTGTGAAGATTAAAATAGTGAAAAATAAGCAGAAGGCGCCGTGGGCTAAAGCAGACTCGGTCAGGGCACAAAAGAGAAAGTGCCGGAGGGCCGAGCGGAAGTGGCGCAAGTCCAACCTCCAGGTAGATTACGAGATCTTCAAAGATAAGTTGTGCGAGTTTAACCGGGTGCTACGTAGTACGAGAGAAAGGTATTTTTCTGAAATGATTGAAGGCTGCAGCAACAATCTGCGTGTTCTGTTCTCAACAGTTAATAGATTAACAAACCCCCCTGTTCAAATGCCATTAGAGCTTACTTCCAAACGTAAATGCAATGAGTTTGCTAATTTTTTCAATGACAAGGTTCAAGGCATCAAAAGCGCCATTGTCTCCAATCCACAGATAACCATCCAACAGCCAGAAAGGCTCTCTGAGCTAACTCACTTTGCACCTGTAAATGATAAAACTGTCCAAGAGATAATCTCCAGTTTGAGCTCCTCCACATGCAGCCTGGATGTACTACCCACTAGATTTCTGAAGTCTGTTCTGAGCAGTCTGTTACCTTCACTCACACAGATAGTAAACATGTCCCTTCATTCTGGAATATTCCCAAAGGCCCTGAAAACTGCAGTCATCAGGCCCCTGCTAAAAAAGAGCAGTCTCGATGCTACGGTACTTAACAACTATCGTCCCATCTCAAATCTGCCATTTATGGGGAAAGTCCTTGAGAAAGTTGTCTACCTACAGCTTACTAGATTTCTTATAATCAACAACTCATTTGATATGTTTCAGTCCGGCTTTAGACCCCACCACAGCACTGAGACTGCTCTCGTTAAGGTTACAAACGATATCCGGCTGAACACTGACGCAGGCAAAGTCTCAATCTTAATCTTGTTAGATCTAAGTGCTGCCTTTGACACCGTCGACCATGAGATCCTCTTACAGAGACTAGAGGACTGGGTTGGCGTCACTGGCACCGCCCTAAGTTGGTTTAGGTCTTACCTCGAAGACAGGAAGTACTTTGTGGAGATTGGAAACTGTGTCTCAGATCATATGGCCCTGACCTGTGGAGTGCCACAGGGGTCGATCCTGGGACCTCTTCTGTTCAATCTCTACATGCTGCCGTTAGGTCAGTTAATACGCAGAAACAAAGTTTCCTATCATAACTATGCAGACGACACTCAGATCTATGTCTCACTGACTGCAGGAGAACATGGACCAGTGGACTCACTCCTTCACTGTATCCAACAGATCAGTGAGTGGATGCAAAACAACTTCCTTCAGCTAAACGCAGACAAAACTGAAATGATTGTCTTTGGTCCCCAGAAACAAAGAGAGAGCGTCATCTGTCACCTACAGTCTCTCTCCCTAAAACCTTCAAACAAGGTCAGAAATCTAGGGGTAATACTGGACTCAGACTTAAATTTTAATAGCCACATCAAATCAGTAACATCAGCAGCTTTTTACCATCTAAAAAACATTGCCAGGATCAAAAACATAGTGTCTAAAGCAGACTTGGAGATTCTTATCCATGCATTTGTCTCCAGTAGGTTAGACTACTGCAATGGCCTGCTCACAGGTCTGTCCAAACAGGCTGTAAAACAGCTGCAGTACATTCAAAATGCAGCAGCTCGAGTCCTGACAAGAACCAGGAAGTACGACCACATTAGTCCAGTCCTCAGGTCTCTGCACTGGCTTCCTGTGGCTCAGAGAATAGACTTTAAAACAGCTCTGCTTGTGTACAAATCTCTCCATGGCCTCGCACCAAAATATATTAGTGACATGTTAGTCCCATATGAACCAGCCCGGACTCTGAGGAGCACAGGGACTGGACTCCTGTTAGTGCCCAGAGTCAGAACTAAACATGGGGAGGCTGCTTTTCAGATTCATGCTGCTAAAATCTGGAACAGTCTTCCTGAAGATGTGAGACAGGCCTCCTCTCTGACAATGTTTAAAACCAGGTTAAAGACGGTTCTGTTTAACTGTGCATACAACTGAGGGATTTTATATTTTTATCTTTTTTTTTATGTACTGTGATTATTTATGATTTTAATGCTTTCTTGTTTTGTTCAGCACTTTGAATTGCCTTGTGTATGAATTGTGCTATATAAATAAACTTGCCTTGCCTTGCCTTGCCTATTTATTGAATCTCAAGCTGCTGGTTCAAAGTATTACATTCTGAAAGAAGTAAAATGAAGACCAAAGCAACAAACTTCAAAGATGTAATTATTTTCCGGAACTAATCATCTATAGCTACATTGTGTTGTGTGTCGGTCGTGGATGTAGTTGGGTGAGACGATCATGAAGCCACTTAGAGACTGGACATTTAAGAGTGTTAAGGAGCACTTTACTGTCTAATGATCCTGTTCCATTATACTGTGCAATCACATGGGACACATTCAAAGGAAGTGATGGGTGCTGCTTTAGTGCACAGATACAGGTCAAACCTAAATATAAAAGAGTTTATAAATAACTCGCCTTTCAGCCTTGGAGTTAGCATTGTCCATCTTTATACAGTCTAAGTAAGTCTATTGTAAATGTGTTTTGGATGGTCGGGCTACTTATTGCCAAAAAATGGCCAATGTAATTGCATGCTCATATACTCTAGTCTTTGTCACCCGCTTTGTCTATGAAATATATAAATTAACAATATCCTGATTATACTGACAGTCTTTGTGTGTCGTAGCACGTCCTCCCCGATCAACATGGTGGCGTCGGGGGCTGCCAGTGCCTCCTCTCCCCTGGCCATGGGGGGTTCCGCCGGAGGAAACCACAACTCCTCACCCTTGCACCATCTCAGCTCCGTCGTGGGCAACTACGCCACGCTGTCCCCCAAACGCATGCTGCATCACATCGGAGCAGACACCTACAAGATTTCCCACGAGCTGTACGCCAACGCCACGCTAAAGAGGCCCGGGAGCCTCGCAGGTAGAGGTCAATGCAAAACCTTTTTATTCTATCCGTGTCTGTGCTGTGGAGTGGTAATGTTGTGAGGTGTGGTCCATGTTTGTCAAATGAACGCTGTTTGTTGTATGTATGCACGGATCACATTGTAACCAGTGTGTTATTGGTAGATATAGATAATGAGTCTATAGAATGGGAACCACACTGAAGAGGAAATAAGATAAGATTAGATAAGATAGACTTTATTGATCTCACACTGAAGAAATTTACATGTCACATTTGGCATAGATAGAGTCACTCAGATTTGTGCAAAGACAGAAGTGGGCAAAAGTGTTAAAGGCAAAAAAATATAGTCTGTTCAGGATACTTTATGTACAATAAAATGTGGCAATTAAAGAAAGAGTGGCGATACCAGTGCAGGTTTTTCAGTCCTAGTGCATGACTTCAAGTGACTTATCGTACGGTCTGACAGCGGTGGGGGTGAAGGCCCTCTGCTGTCGGACTGTACAATATATATAAATGGAAAGTAAATAAATAAATGTTGAATTAGTATTAGTTCTTGTGAAGACCAACAATCACAGGCAGATTGTCGTTTTGTTTTGCCTCAAGTGTGTATTTATGGCCGATAATGGGAGTACTTTCTAGAAGCATCTTTTGATCTCTCATTTCATCCAGGATGTTTGGTATTCAGCGGCAGCATTGCCACTACAGGGAGGAAAACACATTTCACACAGATTTGATGAAATTGGCTCGAGGTTTTTATCTCAAATTTATTAGATTGCAAATGTCCTCATGCATTTTTAACAACTTAGATAAATGGAAATTCAATCAGGTTTTTAACTTTTTGAGAAGTGAAATCTGTTGTTTTTTTGCATTAGTGAGTGCCATCACAATGATAGATATAAATGGAGTTGTCCAACAAGTGGAATTATTCTGCTCAATAGCCTTTCTTACTTTGGATCCACATTTCATATTACAAATAATATCCACTCTGCTGTCAATACTCCATGAGCAGCACAGCAAAAACACACGTGCCGTCAAAACAATACTATTCCACAGGAGACTCAAAACATGATTTTAGATATGGTGATTTATGCCCTTGGAGGAGATATGGAAGCACAAGGAGAATGTGCAAACTCTTCACGGGCTGAAAACAAACGTTGTGCTTTATATATATTCATGGCTTTGCTGGGAAATAAATCTAATTATTTCAATAAATCTGATTTTTAAAATATCAATGATGAAAAATTGTGAAATTACTGTCAGGATGAGGTGCATGTTTTTTCTTCACCGTCGCTCAGTCCTCAGGCTTTTCCACCTTTTCTTTTTAGGGGCTTCTGTAGTTTAGCCAACAGCAGTGCACAAAGGTTACTCTGTTGGCACAACTTATATCTTCAATAAGTTTTCTTCTTCCCACTCCATTTCGAGCCAAATCTTTTCTAATTCCTGTACTTATGTACAGCTGTTCTACATTTGTTATTTTTTTATGTGATCTGCTCAAAATGAATCAATAAATTAAATGAAATGTCAGCAACTGTGACAATATATGTGACAATATAAAATTTGCATATTTAGCTTATTTCATCAATAGTGGTTGATTTAAATCCACAATATATAGGACTAATAAACTCGAGATGCTACTTAGCCATGCTACCAACTCTACCAATATAGTAAAAAGTCTTTTGAGGACTTTCCCATGGGATATTGCTTTTACTATTTAAAAGTAGTGTTCATTTTCAAATACTCTTTTAAATGTGATGAATGCTTTGCTCTTTCTGCCTTGATAGAGACCAATTACTGTAAATGCACTGCAATCCCTGCTCTCTGACCACTACACCATAGATTTCAAATAATAAACCAAGCTCTTTCTCCCGTTCTTATGCCTCCAGGCTCCAGAGGGTCCTACAGTTCCCAGCACAGTCACCTGGGCTCTGAACTCAGACCCCTGCAGTCTCCGGAGCACCACATCGACCCCATCTATGAGGACCGGGTCTACACCAAGTCCAACCTCAGAGGCCAAGGTGAGCACAGCGGGGATCACAGAACAGTTTAAGTAAAGACCAGGGATGGAGCGATGTTTGGTCAAAGATTTACGTTCAAACAAAAGTTAATACGTGGATACAGGTGGGTGGAGAGGCCAAATGTAGTGCAAACAAGAAAGAAAACTACTGGGTGAAATACTAAAGAGAAGAAAAAAGTAACAAAGGAAAACATTAAGTATAAAATCTTAAAATTGTAGCTGCAACATTTGCTCACTTTGAAGGACCAATGAAATCGAGAATCCATCACTCGTTTTCACATAGATGTATTGTTGGCCTCATATCAATAGAACAGAGTACCAGCCCATCCATCCATCCATCCATTTTCTACCCTTTAATCCATTTCTGGGTCAGGGGGATGGCAATCAGAGATGCCACCCAAGTCTCATAGCACCAGCCCCTCACTGACCCTCTGCAGGTGGTGAGTCCACAGGAGGACGGCTGCTCTAAGTGTGAGCATAGCCTTGATCTTTCAGTGGGGGCTTTTGGGCAAAGTGGGGTTAAGTGTCTTGCCCAAGGACACAACGACAGTAGTCATCAGTGGGAGTCGATGGAGAAGGTGCAGAGGTGGGAATTGAACCCACGACCTTCTGGCCTTAAGGCCAATGCTCTACCAACTGAGCTACTGTCGCCCCAGGAAGAGTACCAGCCCTTTCTCAGCCAATCAGCTCTCAGTATGTAAAATATCAAATGTTTTCTGATAAGGTAAACACAACATGTTGCAGTCTGAACTGTTCACAACATTTTATTTAAAGTGAATGTCAGTTACTTTCCAAATCGTGAAGAGGGAGTGAAGACCCGCCCATGCCACCCTCGCCGCCTCCTGATTGGTCAAAATCAATTAAAATCCTTGAGGTCCCTCGTCATTGGTTATTCTGTTCTCCTCCTGCAAATAACAGGATTTTATGTTAACGTTTGTGTTAAGGAAATAGAGCGGACATATGAAGACTTATTCTTTGAACTAAAATAAACTACCGCAGAAATAGCTTGAGTAATTATCCAACAAATTGTATTATATATAGCCTATTGCTTGCAGCAGACAGAGTTTCTAGTTTTAGATTGACATAAAAAGACATTACTCTGGTGCACGGAGCGAGAAATGATGTAGTGAACTTCAAAGAATGCTTTTTAGTAATGCTATCTTATGTCAAAGCCCCGGGATATTAAAAAAAAAACAACTTGGAGAAATGCTTGCTCTACCTGATCATGCAGAGGGGCTTTTTATACTATCAGCTGGGCAGATCCAATTGGGGTCTCACTGGTAATTTGTCTCCTAGTCACAGTCTGTTACCTAATTAGTTTCAAAGCTGGGTATTAATCTCAATTAATCCCATGGGCGTTAGTAAGGGGTGCTCCAAAATCTAAGCAAATCAGCCATGTCCTAAAATGCTGTATAGAGCCATGTTTGTTTGAATTTTTTAGATATATTTCTTTGTTAAATATTATACTCTTGCTGGGACATTATTTAAGCTCTGTTTTCTGTTATAGATCATATGTAACCTGTTGCCATCTGATAGACTTATTTGTATATAGCAGCATGACTTATGTACATTGGCCTTTGGTGTTTCTGCATGAAATGTTACTATGGAAGCTGGTGCAATAGCTGTGATGTGGCCAAAAATGGAAAGGACTTCTCAAAATAAACAATTATTACTCATTTATTTTGGAGTATACCTTTCATCACAGCTTGTTGAAGATTCCATGATAATTATCCATCTTTTATAACAGATATTTTTTTATGATCTGATGTAAGATATATTATGATGAGATAATTCTTTAATGTTATGTTTACAAAATTTCCTTTTTTTTGCTTCCTCCCCATCTTGTTTGCTTTGATTTTGGCTGGTGATCCTTGTCTAAATCCCTGTCTGTTGGCCTTCACTGGTCCCATGTTGTTACTGTTTGATCTCCAGACCCTGTAGTGAACCACTTGTACCAGGAAGTCCTCAGTTATTTGCTTTCTCCTTACACTCCCTCTTTAGCCCCGCCCTCTCCCGGTGTTGACCCAATCCCCTTGCAGCGAACGGGAAGCCAGAGCGCCGCTGGCACTTTTCAGAGGGCCAGCTTTGCCACAGCAGGAGGGGCATCTGACTATGGCAACCCGTACCGCACGCTGCAGTTCTGCCCCTCCACAGAGTCTCCCTACAGTAAATCAGGACCAGCCCTGCCCCCTGAGCCTGTGCTGGGGCGCTCTCCGTCCGTGGACAGTATTCAGAAAGATCCCAGGTTAGTGGACGGCTTTACTAACCAACAGCTATGGCTTGTGATGAAGCTTGTGTTCTGCTCCCTTTCCACATCCACTCTATGTACTGATGGCCAGATTCACCAAAACATGATCATATATGTCTTTTATACATCTCGAATATCTAACACCTCACTGGTTATTCTAGTGGGTGCTCTTCAAGGGTGAAATTATAAAAGTAGAAGACAGTTGTTGTCTAGGACCTGTCTGATAAAATGTTTGTGTACATGATTGCTTTTAACAAGTTGCACATTTGATATAGACGTATCAAATCTGCTGAATCTGGGCTTTAGTATGTACATCACATCTTTCACTGTCCTCTTTGCCTGGTGCAAAGACCTGTATGAATGCACACCTCGCAGACCAATTTAGAAGTTTGCATTTATTGTTAAGAGCTTTGTATGACTCTGTCACAATGTGCAGCCGGCCGAAATAGCTGCATGAAGACTGCAGATACACAGATGTGTGTGTGTGTGTGAGGGAGAATATGAATAAAGAATGAAAAAAGGTATAAAAACAAGGATAATATTACAATAATCTTGTCTTTCCACTTGTTTGGCGCAGGATAAAGTTTTAATACTCTATTCTCTCCCTGTGTCAACCAAACTGGCAGCTCGAGTGCATAACAAAGTTATTGTTTAAATAATGATGTTGTTATCAATCCCGATATGTAAAAACAGGCTTAGCCTCCATGAATACCTCACTCATTGTCTTGTGTTTGTATCTCTGTGCTCTCTGCACGTCACACATCGTCTGTGTGATTGTTTTGTACCAACATCACATTTGCATTGATCATTCAGTGACTGTCTTGAGATGCATGGCCTTTGCTCTTCTTCATGACATGAAGCCAGTGCCGGAGACGATTGCAACTTGAATGCTGATGACAATAGCTAAAGAGAGGGTCTAACGTTGCTGTTTCTTGTCTAGCATCACGTCTGCTCCATGCTCTTTTAAACCACTTTGTTTGAGTTGTGCTAAATTGATTCATATGAATTTGGCACAATGTACAGACTGTAATGCGGCGGCACGGTGGCTGAGTGGATAGCACTCTCGCCTCTCAGCAAGAAGGTCCTGGGTTCGAGTCCCGGTTGGACCAGGGCCTTTCTGAGTGGAGTTTGCATGTTCTCCCCGTGTCTGCGTAGGTTTCCTCCGGGTGCTCCGGTTTCCCCTACCACTAAAAATATGTACAATAGGTCTGGCATGTGCCTCCTGTACTGGCACCCCCACTCCCAAAAATAACAATTGTAAACCGCTTTGAGACTCCGATGTGCAGTGAAAAGGCGGTATATAAATAAAAGATTACTTACTTACTAATGCACTCTTTTTAGTGGTGTATTCTTTCTGTGACATACATTTGTCTACATCAATCTTTCAGGTTGACCCTCTCTTTACCTCATACCATTACAAGCATGTGCCCATCACTATCACTGCCTGAGAACCAAATGTGGAGAGAGAAAGAAAGTTATGGCTACATATTTTTTTCTATTTATTACTATTCATATTTTTCCAACTACTATTATTAAGCATCTTTTGAAAATCAGCCAACCTATACCTCTCTCTTGTTTCTCTCTGCCTGTCCCCCCTCGATAGGTACGACCCCGAATTCCTTGTGTGGAATCAAAATCAAGCCGAGCAAAGAATGACAAAGTAATTCCAACTATTTATTATTATTGTACTCTGTCTATATATTTTACATATGTCATTCACAGTAAGTCTTCATCTACTATCAAACATGTCATACAGAGGCATGACATTTTCCATTTGTATTGTGGTCACATTTTTAATGATTAAGATTTGAAATACACATTTAAGTTATTTATCTGATTCCTTGCAATTCGGGCTGAATATGTTCTTCATCATTGCCTGTAGCTTTCCATCATCGCCACCATTTTATGGTTTTAGTTCTGCTTCCTGGTGGCCTTGTGCTTTGTGGCTTGTTTCATCATTCACTGTGGTGTGAAAGAGGTAAATAAAAAACAAAAGTAGTGCACAATTTTATATTTGGAACATTTAGACTTGCTATACAGGCAAATCTTGGAAAAATAGAATATTGTTCAAAAGTGTATTTATTTCTGTAATTCAATTTACAACGTAAAATATATAATTTTTTTTATAACATTGATAATTGCCTCGCAACTGTAAAAAGTCTAAATAAAGTATGTCAAAAAACTACAATATTTTGAAAATCGACCTAATCATCAGACATAAACATACAAAATTGTAAACAATGTCACTTTGCAGGTAATGAGTCTACTCTATATCATATATTGGTTTCACATTTATTATTGAAATTCAGAAAAATATGAACTTTCTTATTTTCTTATTTTATCTGTAGAGGTTTGTTTTCAAAAGGTGATTATTATTATTATTTTTTTTTTTTATAAGATTTATTAATGCATTATGTCCTGATGAGTGAGATCTTGTGGATGTACTGTAGCTCCAGCGTTCCTTAAACCATTACATCATTGCACATGTCTGCTCAAGTTGAAATTTTAGGCTTATGTAAGGACCCATCTTGCGGACCATAGAGGTGCCTGATGTGATTTCATGCTCTTAAAAGCTTCCAGGAGCTGTGATCCATACTGACCATGTGGAGACGCATTGTGTTTGTCTGTTTCTGCCTGGCTTCTTCTGACCTTTCCCCATCTCCTCTGGCCTCACCACCTCATGTATTCATCTATGGCCGCACACAAACCATGCTGTTGTAAATTTGATGTGGTTATAGGTTCAAGGCTACACAGTTTATGACAAAAAGTGGATAATATTGTTACTGCAAGTATCAAACATATTCAATGCAACAACACATTTCAACACATTTCATCATCTGATATACAGCTTGAAATTGTACACACTCAGGCATAAAATATGGATGTTTTTGTCATATTTTGGAGACCATGAATAATAATGCAAAAAAAAATGCACTCCTTGTTAGTGGTTTTGTGAGGCCACTTATTGTCGAATAAACATGTTTCTCTCTCTTCTGACCCTGATTAGAAAGTTCACACACTTATGACAGCTTGAAGTCTTTTTGTGGGTCTCCCCGAGGTTTCTCACTTTTTTCCCACTGGGTTTTTCTCATGAGAGTTTCCTTGCCGATGCAGGAGGGTCTGTGGGACAGTTAGTGTGTATCAAAAAGGACTGTGGTGATGATCCAGGACACTTTAACATTCTACAACATGTATGGACATTTATCAAAATGTGTTCTATGTGTTCTATGATCTGTGTTGGTGATTTCAATGGTTTTGTTAAGTCCTCTGAGATGACTACTGTTGTGATTTAGGGCTATATAAGAATACATTTTATTGTAAAAAATGGTATTGTATTGTAGTTGTGGATGAGGTTCTTTATCCTCTATTATAGTAAAGCTGCCCATTTTTCTTCAGAATCAGAATCGGAATCAGAATCATTTTTATTGCCACGTGAGTAACAAAGTTATCACTTGGAAATTGTCTTGGCACTTTTTTTTTTTCATTTCTTGGCAAAATGCCTCCAGTTTGTGTATTTTCCTGGGCAGCCTTGCATGATCTGCACTTTTGAAATTTACCCAGAGCGAATTTGAAAAAAGAAAACATGCTTATTTGACAAGAAAAAAAATGGCTTCACACAATCACTAGTAAAAAAAAGTCCTTGTGTTATTACTAAAAATATGGCCACATAAATTCTATACAAACTACTCTGACTGTGTGTAAACTTACAGCTGTACGGTGTATTTTCAATGTAAAGCTAATCTATCAAATATTGTTTTGCTCATGTTGTGATTAGTGCTGTTAAACTATTATTTGTTTTGGATTTCTATCGGTGTCTTTATCAGTTTTCTCTGGAGGAAAGGCTCTGTTCCTTTGGGCTATCATTGTGCCTTATATAGTCTTAGTGTAGGACAGATGCAGGCACATATCCTTTTTCAAATGCTCACCCATTCATAGAATGCAAATACTATAAACAATGTCAGAACCGTCGTACTAACTGGAATTTATGAACACGTACCCCAAACCTAAGCTATTGTCTCTCCCCAGTGCCTTTAATCCTGCTTAAGGCGTTAATGCTACGTATTCATATCTCCATGTCTCCTTAGTTCCTTATAGTACAGCAAACTCATTGTTTGCTGTTCTGCAAACTTTCATATAAGCTCAGAGTTATGTGGTTTGAGCTTTCACATTTGAATTCCTGACATCCACTCTCCATACTGAAAAAGGAATATGCATATTTTGATGGATTAAAATTGTCACCATGTACAAGTAAAGTGCTTGGGCTCAAACAACCTCTAATTTCTTAACACAATTTCCTATTTTTACAAAGTAACAAGATAAAAACGACTCTTAATAAGACAAGGCCCTGGGATCTTTTCAAGGGCAGTTACTGGCCGCGGTACTTTTGTTACAATAAAACAAGTTAATGGACTTTTCAGTTTAACATTGATTTTCCCATTTGTTACCTAAGAGTCTTTCCCGAGCTTTCAAAGTTGTCTGGCTCAAAGTTAATGTGGTTAATCAGCATTCCTTGTCCCCTCTCTCCCCTTCGCTCAGTGGGACCCCGCGCTGTCTGTCTGTGTGCGGAATGACTCAGCGCACCAATCTCCATCTACCCGACAGCACGCAGCAGCGGCAATGCGCGCACCGGGATCTCGGCCTCAAAAAACACTATTCCCCCACAGCCTGACTCATAGGAAATCCTTTCAGCACGCTATGGCTGTGATCTGCCTCCAGCCTCTCCATAATTCATACGTTGTTGATGTATTTACCAGGGTTTAATTATGAGGCTCATCGTGGCGCGAATGTTTTGGCAGTGTGACAGAAGCGCACGTACAGTATGAACAAACTCAGGAGGAGCGAGCTCACCTGGACGGACTGCACAGCGACAAGACGGTTTTATTGTTTCTTTTTATTATTATTATTTTTATTTCAGTCAGTTGGAAATTTCAAAGGTTTTCAAATATACCCAATATATGTTGTTGTTCAAGCGCCAATGGCTTACAGTAAATGGTGCAATAGTGGTACTTAATATATTCCATTTGAGTAAACGCATGACATGCTCAAAGAAATAGAGAAACTCCTTCCTTTAGAGTTCTGTCCAATTGACCTTGATTATGTTTGTGTCGGTGAAACACAATTCCTTTAATTTTACAGAAATATTACTATTTTGCGTTAACTTTACCTTTATTGTGTACCTCAACCCTGTTTGGATAAGTACCAGTGCCCTGTAATGATAATAACTGAGCACTGCTTCTTGCCTCTGGTGCATTGGATCAAATAACAATTTATGAATTCATTTTTATGTTAAATTATCACAAGCTGAGTAGAAATGTGTCTCATTTTAGCTGGTTCACCACCTTCATTCACCTTCTATGGTTCAGTTTCACTCAGCGTGACACAAATTAATCTGTTTCCCAATATAAGTCTGCAACTAATCGGCTGGATGTGATTTTAAATAGCTGAAATCATTGCTCAAAATCCTAACTGTAGCTATTCAGTGATGTGAATATCTGTTAAAAGTATTCTTTCTCCTTTAGACACAGGCAAGTCATCCCTAGACACTAGCTCTGATGTGTTGTCAGACACATTTGAAACAAGTTTATTTTTGATTCTACGGTTGTGAATAAAGGGGGAATCTTCTGGCCTCATAACTCCCCGGAGTGGGCTGTTAAGCTGCGCACATATCCACATAAACTTTCTCTAAGATTCACTATGAAAGGGATCAGAGAAAACTTACTTGAAGAAAAACTTTCCTCTAGTGTAGAAGACATATTACCATCTATATACATTTATTGCTGTTTCATAAGGGCAGCAATTTTAAGTCTGGTTCACACGGCAGGATAATTAGGCCGATTTTGGACCCGATTTACCCCTACGACAATCGTAAGAACGCTCCGAATATCATAACAAAAAATCTGATGGATTTTGTGTGGTGTGTTAAGACTGTGCTCGTCGCTCGGAAGGACTTTGGGACTGCTCCGATCTCAATATCGGGGATATCCAACATGTTGGATTGTTTTGGCCCGATTTCTCTCCGTGTGTGGTATCCCCCGGGGACAGACGAGCGCGTTGCCATGACTGCGGTGTGTAGCCAATCAGAAGACGAGATGAGCCGGCGAGGAAACACCGTAAAAAAACAACTCACCTCCATATCACGATATAGCAAGTATAGTCCATGCTCGCTTTGTCTACACTTCTTTGACCATCGCCTTTTCTTTTGATTAAAAACAAACTATCGCTACTGCATCCTCTTCATCCGCCATGATTGTTTACCAGAGATTTTGTGAGATTTCCGTCTGATCTGGGAATGCTCGGGGGGTGAAATCGGTTCGTGTGTGTTGTGTGTGGTTTGCGTGATTTTGGTGGCTGCGCACAACACACTGTACGACCAAAGGGGTTAGACCCTTGATTTTTTATCTCTGTGTGTGGGGTCTCACACAGAGAAAAAATTGGCCGACAATTTTAAAATCGTGTCGTGTGAACCAGGCTTAAGCAGAGACGCCCAGACAAACACACTCTACACAGTTCATCCAGTTCTGGGGAATCCCGAGGCGTTCCCAGGCCAGCTGAGAGACATAGTCCCTATCCGAGGTGGTGGGACATTGCCAGAGCCCCTCCCCAGGGAGGAGTCTTTGGGGCATCTGAAAGAGATGTCCAAGCCACCTCAACTGGCTTTTTTTGACGTGGTGAAGTAGTGGCTATACTTCCATTTGAATGAATGCTTCACCCAATCTCTAATGGAGCCAGCCACCCTGTAAAGAAAATGACTGTTGCTGCTTGTATCCGTGATCTTGCCCTTTCGGTCATTACCTCAATCTCACAACCATAGGTGAGGGTGGGTACGTACATTGGCCAGTAAATCAAAAGCTTTGCCTCTTGATTTACTGGACTCCAAATCACTGCCTTTGGGTCCGCATCACTGCATCTACAATCTCACATTCTGTAGTCAGAGCGTGTGGGTGTGTGGATGCAAGCTGCCAACACTTGCACATTGTTGCCACCTTGATGCCGGATATCAACTTCAGTACAGAATAGAACCAGGTTCTAGCAGCTCATCGCAGAGTTGTAAATGCAAACAGATGTCTTTGATATAAAAGCTCTTGTGTAGCTTCTTGCTTAGCTTCTTGCTCTTTCTGCAGTGAATTCATGATTGTCCTCCGGCCCATATGCCATACATTAATTCATGCTGCTTATCTGCTCCTGTTGTTTCTACTTGACAACTTTGCCTAACTTGGAAATGAATCACAGTCCGTTGCAGACTGCTGCTGAGTCCAGCAAAGATATGAGGAAATATGTACGCACAACTGCAGTCGTGCCAACGTCATTGTAAGAACATTAGCACAGGGCCTACACAGAAGCCAGAGCCAGGCACATCTAACTCAAACCTAGTTATTACAAACTATGCATTAATTTCACCAAAGAAACTTGTTTTTACGTTAAATAGCTCAGGAACACCGTGATCATGGTTGCAGTAACATGGTGCGCATGGTGAGCTACAGTTTGTCCCAATGGTCCATATACAATGGGTCAACTTTGTGGTTTTGTGATTCGACCAGGCTTTTTTTCTGAAAATAATTTTTATCCCTTTTTTGTCCTCTATTCCGTCAGTACACAAAGAAAGTCACATTGGCCATTTTCTCTGTAGCTCATAATCTTTGATGTGAGACGCCTATGGCCATTCCTCCGTTCATTCCTATTACACTTTATGGTCGCGCGCCGCTCAGCCTTAGAGATGGATGGCCAGCGTCATGTGTATCACTGCTCTTATCGAGTGTGCCCTCGTTCTAATTACAACACAAACACATGTGACAGGCCGCCCGCTGTAACGCCGCCTTGTTTTATCAAGTGAATTAGCCCACAAGGTGACCTACACAAGGTTATGCCACCTCTAATCACAGTAATGGAGTCTGATACTAGTATACGTGCATAATAGCATTAAAACATGTGCAGTGAATAGAAATGTTAGAGAAGCAACTTGTTTGTGGAATTTTTGGACCGTATATTTCAATACCTGCTGTTACAAAAAAACAATATAGGGTAGTTACTCTACGATGTGTAAAAGACTTTCCTGGTTTTGTATTTCTAATCACTTTGGGATAATTCAAAGAAAACAGATGAAAACAGTTATTAGTAACACGATGGAGCAGCGGTTAGCGTTCTTGCCTCACAGCAACAAGGTCCAGGGTGGCAAGCTCTTGTGTCTGTGCAGGTTACCTCCAGATGCTGAGGTTCCCCCACAAAAAATATAATTCAATAGGTATGAATGATTATTTTATTATTTGGTCAATAACAACAACAAAAAACAACAATAAAGAAACATTTAGTTTTCATTGCTCAACATTTTTTCTGACCAAAAGTGTTCAGGCTGAAGTCTAGGCTTTTTTATACATTACAGTATTTACAAAAAACAAGACCAAATCACAATCACAATCAAATTACAATTACACAAGGAGTCATACACACGTACACATTCAGGCGCATACATTCAGACTAACCATGTAAGATATACTGTATATTACCTTATATATATTTGTTATTTCAATTAAAATTGTGTTATTGCTTCGTTAAGAGTGAATGGATGTTGGTGTTCGGGGTAAATACACACAATTGTAAAGTGTTGGGTGTGACCAAAATGGGTCGCACCGGTGGGTCTGCGAAAATGAAAAATAGCTAAATACTACTAACATACTTACTAAATAAACCAACATTTTATATTCTCGCTTGTCATCTTTAGTAGATGTGGCAGGTTGCCATTGGTTACAGGAAGTGTACTTGTGTAAACCTCGCTCATGCCTTTGAACATAATCATAAAACTTCAGTGGGTCACATCTGATGGTTCTCACGCTTATCAAGTCTGTTTTCTCTCCTTCACACCACTGTACGGTTTGCACTTCAAGGCCGAGTTAAGCTCAGCGTGGTGGAGATGAGCGCCTTTTTGCCTAAAGCCAGCCTGGAGGCACGAGCACTCAGGTTTCCCCGTCAGACCAAAGCCTTGGACGAGTCAGAAGAAAAGGGGAAGCTCCCACTGGCTTACGATATTCTCTGATCAGTGGGGTTTTTCTCAATCGTACCTATTATCACTGCAGTCTCACAAGTTCCCCATTTACTGATGCAGTGGGAGTATAAAACCACCTTATATGTGTTTGTTTTATGCAGTTGTAATATTTGCGTATGCTGTTTCCTGGGGTAGACACTGATCCTGGGTTCAGGAGCCTGTCGCTTTCAATTGCATTCCTTTTAATATTGCCTTAAATCACAACGGCAGACACCTTGGAGGACGTTACAAAATTGTTGATTCACAAAGAACAGATCAGAGTATGAAACCAATGTCTATAAATGTTAATAAATATCCATAAATGTCCTAAAATGTCCTTAAATGTCCCAGATAGTCACTAATCTTAGACACTCCTTCATCAGCAAGGAACAACTCAAAAAATCCTGTGGAAACAAGTATTACCATGCTAATAGGCGTAGATCGATGATGTATTTTTGAACTTGGCATGTAGTAAACGATTCAGAGCTGGTTACACAGCAAACCTGCTTGGTGGGCATTATTGATTTTAGTACATAGAGGAGCACTACTGCAAGGCAAGCTCAGAACGCCATGTAATATGTGTTTTGAAGAGGATGACAGGTGATCTGCTCTCTGTTTCTCCTTTACACCATTTACTCATTTTAAATACATTTGTGGTAGTGCAGAGCTCAGATAGATAAAATAAATATGTTTCAAAAGGGCTTAAAGGTAAAAGCTATGCTACATCAATATGATAATTCATGCAGACGAGGCCGAGGCAGATGATTTTCAGAGGCGACCTTGAACAGGAATAAAAATTATTAATCCGAAATACATTTACATTTTATAATGCATTCTCCCTCGTTCTTTTCCATTCTGTTTTTCTGGCGCTATCATGCATCTAGACCGACAGATCTGCTTTATACAACAGTGCTTCTCCCTTTCACGTGTGGATGCATTTGCTGTGTTCTCAGAGAGTTTGGCTGGAGGGACCCAGAGCTGCCGGAGGTCATCCAGATGTTGCAGCATCAGTTTCCATCAGTTCAGTCGAACGCCGCGGCCTACCTGCAGCACCTCTGCTTCGGAGACAACAAGATCAAATCTGAGGTATTCAACACGCTCGAATGTGTCTTTCAATTTATGCAATTCAATTGTATCAGGTTTAGATGTGTACGTGTTCTACAATGTTGTTATATTATCTGTAGAGAGATCAAAGGGCACTATCTGAATAAAATGGATCATCACCATAGAAACAATAAAAAATAAGTCACATTAGTTATTTGAATACATTGGTGTAGTGGGCCCTTATCATTATAACTGTGCTTGAGAGTTTACACGCCCAGCCGTTGATGCCATTGCTATGGCCATATTTTGGATATAATTAATTAGAGCACAACCCCCGTCATCGTCAGAGGTTATATGGAGCTGTGCAAATGTTTAGCGTTATCCTTCGGTATCTGCTTATGGTTTATAAACTTTCAAGCACAACTTTTCATAAACAATGTTGACATTCATGTGACAATGTTGAAATGTAGAAACTCAGACTCACTACAGAACTTTAAATCACTTCTCAAAACCCACCTGTTTCAGCTTGCCTTTCCTTAATTTTGTTCTTCAATGTTTATCTTGTGTTTTGTGAAGCGACGTTTGAGTGTCCATAAAAAGTGCTGTATAAGTTTGATGTATAACGATTATCATAATAATTATTAATGTGCATTCAAGGGTCCATTCACACTGGAAAAGTTTGGGAGAAAATATGCTTCAAAGATCTGTTTTAAAAGATCTAAACTGAAATCAACTGTTTGGTGGTTTTACATCCACAAATATAAGACTTTTTGCTCTAATTAACCACAATTGGTCCAGTTAAAGTGAACCAGACCAACAAGTACGAACCCGCCGATTTTGTGTTTTGTTGTTGACACTGTTACGGCACAGTTGGCCAAAACAACAGTAAAAACATCACCCTTTAGGTCCAGACAGCCAAAGCTTATTTACAGCTCGCCTTGGGGTTGTCCTCTGCTGCACAATTAACACCACATCCAAGAGAGTTACATAGCACCACGGCAATACTTTATGTCCAATGTCTTCATGTCGTTGCAAAAGAGCCGTATTTTAGCTTGGAAACAGGTTTGCGAATGCAGAGGTACCATTACCGGACAGCTCTATAACCTCCACAGAAAGAAATGAATTATAAAAGTGTTATTGAGGACATAATGTACAGGCTATTTACCACTTTAAATACTTTGAGGTCTATAGAGGAAGACATGCACGAGTTTGGAAAAATGCCTGATGCTGCCTGTAATTTTACCCCAGGACCTGAATCAAAACAGGACCAAATTAAATGGGTTGAGTTTTTACTTTGTTTGAATCATTGCTTATGTATTAAAGCTGGGGTACCTCACTTTTTATTCTTCATAAATAACAGAATAACTATACTTTATTCATACCAACAGAGAGTCCTGTAAAAGTCAAATATTGTCCACAAATAAAACCACAAAGTTCTGTCTTCACCTTATTAGATTTTTTTTTTTTTTTTTTTATCTTCTGCCTATATTTGTGAAAAAGGGGAAGAATCTATATATTTTCTTTCCCTTCTCTCCATGTGCTTCTATCCTCAGTAAGCATCACTTAGCCTCTTGGTGGAACTGCTGTTGTCTGTCTTTTCAATGTCAGCTCAACCTAACACAATTTCTCTTCATTAATCCCCATGGAGACGGCAGATTTATAGGAGCCAACAAAGTTCTGCAGACACCGATGGCAGATAGAAAAGGCTGGAAGAAATCCTTGGTGTCCGCACAAGCATTTTTATCTCCAAGATCCGTTTGAACACTTTGGTGATTTAGGAGCCTACAGGTGCAAGAAAGACGGAGTGCTTTGTGGAGAGCTGTATTTCAAGAGCAGGGCTATTGGGAAGTCAGTCTGATCGGGCATTGCCTTGTCTCTGCACCATCTCTGCTGAGGCTGAATCGGGTTATTGGGTCTACTCGGTCACTGTGTCCACTGTTGCTCTACTTAGTCACCCAGAGCCTCATGCTGCTAACATGTACATACAGATGTATACACACAAAAACAAATAAACTAAAGAAAACTTACGGCACGTTCACTCTTGTTGATCTGGATCTGGTTTACTGGACCAAATGCTTTAAAAATATGTAAACAGTGAACAAACTCTAAGTGGTAAAGCTGACTCATGTGTTTTGACCTCCACAAGTAATGAATTTTTGCTTCAAGTGAACCAATATTTGTCTAGTTAAAGTGAACATTTTAATCACACAGATTTTATCCAGCCCTCTATTAACCAATGTTTCTTCTCGCTTTAACCTCAAACACTCGTCTAAATACATTTGTGGCCCTGTCTTAGATTCGACGGCAGGGTGGGATCCAGTTGCTGGTGGACTTGCTGGACCACAGGATGACGGACGTCCACCGCAGCGCGTGTGGAGCTCTCCGAAACCTGGTGTACGGAAAAGCCAATGATGACAACAAGATCGCCCTGAAGAACTGTGGAGGCATCCCAGCTCTGGTGCGGCTGCTCCGGAAGACCACCGACGTGGAGATACGAGAGCTGCTCACAGGTCTGAACTAAACCATTACATTACATAAACGGCTATCTGAAAAAGAGCAAGTTCAACTAATTGTCTGCCAGATAATTAGAAATTTAATTGTAATTGCATGGTCACAATAGTATTGAGGCCAAATCACAAATGTTTTGAAAGTAGTTTTATCCTTTTCTAGTGTCCTTGTCACCTTTCAAATGCCACTGCTGCAAACATTGTTACGTTTAGGAAGACATTATATTAAGACAATTATATTAACTAAATTTGCCATTGAGTTGAGTTACTACAATGTCACAATGTTTTTGCTTGAGTTAATTGTCAGAAGCACCTTTTTACCGCTGAAAGATCAAGGCTCCTGTAGACTCCCCACGTGCAGGAGGATCAGCGAGGGGCTGGTGAACTGGGTGCAGCTTTGACTGCTTTTGACCCCCCGACCCAGAAATGGATTAAAGGGAGGAAAACAGATGGATGGATGGACCTTTTTAATAATCGAAGTGAAGTCAAATCTTTCTGAATTCCAACAATTATGACTTCATTTTTATCTTGAAAATGTAACAACAAAAATGTACATAACAATAAAAAGAGACAAAAAGAGATAAGTCTATACAAAATGCCCAAAATTAAATTGCTTATATTGAAGTAATGTTACGTTAAATATCATGTTCCTATAATGGAGGATCTGAGCTTGGTTTCCCTTTGTGACCTTGAAGTTGAACAATAGAAAATGTTTTACCTCAATTGTACATAAAATATTATAAAGGCCTACAACAATAATTATTACAAGTAACTTAAAGATTTGAGTCTTCTGTGTTGAGTCCTGCCATATCGCTCTGCATTCTGCCCCTTTGCACAACATCAAAGGGCCCGAATTGGTGGACAGAGAAGCTGCGATGGTGTCTTGATTGTAGAGAAATATGGATTATTTAAACTTGCACAAATCAACTTTGAGTGTGTAAATTATACGGGAAAACAATATTCCATGGTCAAAATCTGTGATAAGTCAATTTTGCACGTTATTCCCCTTCTCTAAAATAACTTGAAACAGGATCGACACATGACAGTTAAAAGGGGAATACCAATCAATTTCAACCTGCGCATGTTCCAAATCCACAGGGGATTTAATTTCAATCCAGGCACCAAATGAGAAAAATGGATTCCCTGAACTAGAATTCCACTCTTCAGAAAAATCCCTGCTGTACGTCTCTAAGGAGCATGGATTTCCAGCTTTACATGTAGGAGATCGGGACTTTCGCAAACCTGCTGCAAAAGCGGTCGAGCAGTTTATTACTCTGTCATGCTTAGAATTTTTTTTTCTTCAATTCTCATTAGAAACAGTATCAGCGGATCAAACTGGATGAAACTTTAAGACAGATATTAATTTTTTGGTATTAGCGCACCGTGTATTTTAGGCAAAATGCATAAAATCACTAATATGTCTTAATAATTCAGAACAAAATCGTCTTGAATGTCACATATTGAAATGTCTCCACTATCATGCAGTACTTGCCGAAGAAGTTTTGCTCCATCTCGCTTTGGTTCCAACTGACTTACATTGAAAAGAAAATTCCTCTGGCTCAGTAACTGTGTCACATCCACCATTTGGGCTTTTGGACAAATTCATGGTTTAGCGCTCTGTGATCCTGGAGTTTTTTTATTTCAATATTGTCTTTGTGAATCCAAATCCCTAACAAATGATGAATCAGGTGCCTTTCATCTCCAAATGTAAGTAGTGTGAGCGAGACCAGCAATGCTCTGATTGGTTCGTGGTTGCTTGGTTGTTGCTACCCACAAATCTCCATACACTTAATTCTAGTTTGCTACTCAAAATAGCCTGGTTGTGCTTGTTACGGCCCTGAGCCTACATATTGCTCCCTGTTTTTGTATTTTGTGTGTGGAAACCTCATGTCTGAAGATCCCTGGCCTGTCATTGGTCATTCACTGGCCCTCCCGCCTCCCGGAGGTTGTGACTCGGGTGCTGATTGGAGGAGCGGCAGTGCACCTGGCCGGTCCATCTCCCCCACCTGGAGTCAGTCTCCACTTAAGGCCACACTCCACACCTGTTCGAGGCTGCCAGCCTGTGTGTGGCTGGTATGCCAAACTGTCCTTACGAAAGTGTCTGTCTTTGTCACAGTGGTGACAATGACGTATAGACAGTCCTTATGGTCCTTTTAGCTTTTATTTGGTTTGTCTCTTTTTATTTGTCACGTTGGAGTTTTGTTTTTGTGACACTTCGCTTCTGTTGAGGCAACAGTCAGTTTAGTGTTTTGTTTTAGGTGGGTTAGTGTTTAGTGTAGCTTTTATTTTGGTAACGTTGAGTTACCCCCTTATGTCCTGTGGTGTCCTTTTGATTTGTTTCCTTATCCTTCACTTGCCTTTTATTAAATACTTGCTTTTCCATTCAACATCTTGGTTTTAATTTGTTACCTCCCTCACCCTAGCTGAGCTGGGTCGTAACAGTGCTAACCCTAATCATCTACTTCTACATTAGGCATAAACTGGGCTGGGGTGACGACTGCATTCGACTTGTCCAAGAAAGATAGATAGATAGATACTTCAGGTGTCTAGTAGCAGCAAAAATAAAAGATAAAATTGATCATTCTAAGAAGCTAACAATAGTTATATTCAGCAGCAGCATTTCAGGTCACAGAAGTAGAGATGGAGTACACACTGGGTGGAGCGGGACTATGATATGCGTCCGATGTGGACACAACACCCGGAACCACTGACGAATGGGTTTGTGAGGCATCTTAAATTAGAAAACAAATTACAAGTATGAAGCTATCAACACACACTTTCCTTCGGATTACGTTAACTGCACAATTAACAAGCTCCCACCAATACCAAAAATGTTCCACTCAGTCTCTGCGTGCCTCCTAATGTTGAGCCTTATAAGCCATCCTCCCATAATTCATCATTACTGCTAGATTTCCACAGATGAAGGCGATTCGGAGAACAGATTTATCCTCAGATCTTATTAGCAGTGAAGTGTCAGAAAAGTAACACGCCATGCTGTAGACCGGCGCTAGGTAATTAAGCCCAGATGATGTGATTACATTGCAAAGTGCTGCCTTCTCCCTACACACCCCAAGGCCACACTGCAAGCCGTAATCTCCCTGCGTTTTGCATACATTGATATGATAGATGATAGACAACTGGTTCCAGCGTAATTTAGAGTATTGATCGGCCACTTTGAATGATGGGATACAGAGCAACTTGTGGCTCATTTGGGTATTGCAATTAGTTAGTAAGAATTTCCTTTGATTTCAAATATAACACAAACAAACCAAACCACTCTAATGATCTCTTGTATTCAAAGCAATTCAAGCTGTTCAATTTTGAATACTTATATTTTAGTGGAGACTGTGAGACGTGAGCTGTATAAAAAAAATGCCATGAATTTCCATTAATTTATAGAGAGGCAGAGTAGGCTGTGACAAGTGTCAGGAATAAAATGGAAGCTATCATTGTGGAAATTAGCCTCTGTAAGGCACTCAAATATAAGTCAAAAGACATATTTTAATTCTGAGTAACTAATCTTTTTTGCAAAAAATGTGTAATAGAGACATACATACTTGGCACAGACAGGCATAGGTCAAGACAAAATAAAAGGCTTTGTATGCCGCCTGAGTCTTATGGAAGATTACCATATAAATTAGAGCTGCAATTCAAGGCACGCAGCACTGAAATCCCTCCTGTCACAAATTAATCAAGTGAACGAGCGACCGGACGTGGGCTCTCTCTCTCTCCTCCTCAAAACTCAGTGGAAATAACTCCCTGTATGCGCTCTTCGTCCCTATGTTAGTAATTGGTCTTGGCCCTGTCCTCTCTGCCTTTCTTCCCCACTATCGCTCTCCCTGGCTGGGCTTTTTGAATCAGGATCACAGTGGGTTACCGTGTCTGCTGGGTCAACATGTGTTCACGCTCACACTGATTGTTATCGTGTAAAAGTTTAAGTAGATCGGTCTTTCGTTGAGGTTGATTCGTTGGTGTGCTTTGTGTGTATTTTTTATTTTTATTTGATAGGTTTGGCTTTTTCAAGATAGAAGTCATTCCAAGAGCTTGTTGTTTCTGCAGACTGATAACCTTGGCCAAAATGTGACAGTATATGCATGGAGTTGTAGAACTAAGGCTCAGCTTGATAAGATTAGGTGTTGCTCTATGATGCCTCCAGGAAAACCAGACTAATTCTGGGTAAAACTGTGAATAGTTCTAACATGCAAATAATTATTACCATTGTCCAATATTTGCTTCTGGGTGGTTTCTTGTGGGTGCTGCAGTTTCCCCAACCAACAAACAGACTCTACTCTTCTCTGGAGCCAAGACTCGCCTGAAATAGAGATTCTGAAATCTCAGTGGGACTAGTTTCATAAAGGTCAATAAAATACATTTTCTCTCACCACATTTTGAAAACTACTCACACTGCAGTTGATCCGTGTCAACAGTCTGAATGTGAGGCGGGCTTTTTAGACCGCGTTGAAAGGCGCGTTAAGGAGAAGGCGCCTGCAGTCAATACACAGAACCAGGCAATATTGTATCATACGCCCATAAAAATGTACTTTAATTATAATAATTACTGAAATAATATCTACCTGTGCTAGCTTGTTTTTTTATTTACTTATTTTGTGAAAAGGACATTACACTAAACTGTTCCATATCTGCATTAATATGTAACACTTGAACTCAATACATCATTATTTGGAATAGATTTATTTTGCACTACTTGGCTCCTTGCTGTTCCTTCTATTACCTCTACTTACCTAGCCAGGAGGAGCAGAAGTACAAATAGATGCTCCAATGTTTTATTTTACCTTGACATTGGTGGCACAGCGTATAGTTTGTTCCCTGAGTTAGTTGCCATCTGTTCACCGTATAGAATCCATATGGCTCAACATCCAGCGTGTTCTGGTAAATCATTTCATCTATACATTTGGTCAGGTCAGAAAATATTTATATTTATATTATTTGTGTTTTTAACTTCTTATAAATCACTAATAAAGCACTTTCTGCTTCCTGCATAT